CGAGTCACTCCAGAGAGATGGATACCTTTCTGCCCTCAGGTTTCCCTCCTGCCAGGCGATTCCCCGGAACGATTTCTTCCATCGAATGGGCATGAGCACATCGGTCTCTGCCCTGCTCTGCCTTCTGCCGTCGCTGGGAAGTCGGCTACCCAGGCATCCCTCACCGCCAGGATGTGGCCGGAGTGGGGAGTCAGGGGTATGTCGTCTTCCCCTTTCCCAGGAGGTAGAGTCACCTCCACCGCCGGCACCCGGCGGGCTGTCCCACAGGGTCCCATTCGGTTATTAGTTTGCCGCATGAAGCAAGACATGGTGCTTCGTTGGGGTGATGTTTGCTCCCCAGGGGACATTGGCAGCTTCTGGAGACATGCTTGCTGTCCCAAAGTAGGCCAATAGTGGGCAGGGCCGAGGATATGTATCCTACTGCAGGCCCTACCTCGTTTACCCAACCCCTAATGTCAGTCATGCAGCAAGAAGGACTGCCTGCCTCGCTGGACTCCTCGATGTGCACTCCACCAGATGGTTTGTCCTCCCAGGGCCCCTTGGCTGGGCATCCCACCAGGAAGTCCACTGGAGATCACTTTCCTCCTGGTGTGCGCTTGTCTGGTTGCAACTTGATCTGCTTCCCTCCCACCCCCGCTTGCAGACCACAAGCAGTAGCCCATTAATTTACAGCCTTCATTTCTCACCCGGCAGTCTGCAGGCTAGCGTGCTCAAGGTCCGCTCCCGATCTGGAGCTGTTTCTTGTACTCTGGTGAAGTCCCTTCTCCCTGCCAAGCCCCTCAGCATGGTTGCCACCTATGAAACACTTTCATTCCTTAAAACAAAACCAAGACCTCTTAAGAAATTAGCTGGAGGAAAGCACTAGGTTCAGAGGACATTTTATTTTTTTTTATTTTTTAATGTGTATTTAATTTTGAGAGAGAGAAGAAAAGAGAGCCTGTGAGGAAGGGCAGAAGAATGAAACACAGAATCGAAGCGGGCTCCCAGGCTCAGAGCCGTCGGCACAGAGCCAGGCAGGGCTTTCGAACCCATGAACTTTGAGATCATGACCTGAGCAGTCGGATGCTTAACTGGCTGAGCCCCCCAGGCACCTAAGAGGACTATCTTCTGGGGATGTAAAAATAAAGTCCTGAATCAGTAAGAGACATACCTTGTTATGATTCTAAAGATTGCCTTTTCCTATCTGTAAATTCATTCAGTACCATCCCAAATCAACGACCCCAAAGGTTTTTATTCTTTTAAAAATGTTTTATTTTGAGAGTGAGAGAGAGGAGAAGTCCCCAAGCAAGGTTCTGCACTCTCAGCATGGAGCCTGATGCAGGGTTTGAACCCAGCTGTGAGATCTGAGCTGAAACCAGAGTCCGCCCAACCACAGGTCTTACGGCCCCAAAAGGATTTTACTGTAATGTGACAAAACAATTCTAGAGTTGATCAGAAAGAACAAAAATGTAAAAATAGCTAAAAGAATCCCTAAAAGAGGAATAGAAAGGCTTGCCTATCAGACATATTAAAATGATATAGCTAATTAAATAATCTATAGCTAGTTAAAAAAGTGGGCATTTGCAGAAGAACAAAAATGGGAGGACCGACATTGCAGCCTGCAGACTTACGGATGGGAGAAGACAGTGTGATATTGATGAAAAAAGAGAGACAGATCGGAACAGAATGAGGGAGTTAGAAATAGACCCTCACTTAGGGGCCTGGGTGGCTCAAGTCAGTTAGTGTCCAGCTTCAGCTCAGGTCATGATCTCATGGTTCATGAGTTCAAATCCGATGTTAGACTCACTGCTGTCGTCAGGAGCCTGCTGAATCCTCCTGTCGCCCCCTCAAAAAATAAATTAAAAAAATTTTTTTAAAAAGTAGACCCGTAAGGTCCATTGGTCTTTGACAAAGACAAGGTCATACAATAGAGCAAAAGATAGTCACAATAAATGGTTAAGGAATAGCGGACATCCGCATGCAACCCTCCCCCCCCCCATACGCCCCATGAATCTAGACACCTACCTTATACCCTTCACAAGAAATTAGCTCAAAATGGATCATAGATCTAAGCGTAAAATGCAAAACTATAAAACAGAAAGTTTGAGAGGCGCCTGGGTGGCCAGTCAGACTCCGACTCTTAATTTCAGCACCGATTCATGATCCCAGGATCAAGCCCTATCCAGGCTCCAAGCTGAGTGTGGAGCCTGCTTGGGATTCTCTCTCTCCCTCTCTGCCCGTGCTCTGCTCATTCTCTCTCTCCCTCCTCTCCTCTCTAAAAAAATAAAATTAGAAGTGGCAGTGAGTTAAGCATCTGACTTTAGCCAGGTCACGTCTGTGATCCGTGAGTTTGAGCCCCACGTGCAGACTCTGGGCTGATGGCTGGAGCCTGGAGCCTGTTTCCGATTCTGTGTCTCCCTCTCTCTGCCTCCCGTTTCATGCTCTGTCTCTCTCTGTCCCAAAAATAAATAAAAAGCGTTGAAAAAAAATTTTTTAAAATAAAATTAAAATTAAAACAATTAAAAAAGAAAGTTTAAAGCTCACAAGGGAGATAACATGGGAGAAAGCCTAGATGACCTTGGGCAGTGCCTTTTAGATACACTGGGACAGATCCATGAAGAAAAGTGCTGGACCTCATTAAATCAAAACTTCTGCTCTTTGAAAGACCATGCAAGAAGATAGAAAAGCCACTGACTAGGAGAAAATATTTGTAAAAAAAAAAAAAAAAAAAAAAAAAAGAAGAAGAAGCATTTACAAAGCTATTCCACGTGATACATCAACAGGAAAATGCAAGAATTTCATATGACATAACACTACACACCTGTTAAGTGGCCCGAAAGACCATTTGGCGGTTTCTAAATGACATGCTCTTGGCCTCCCCTTGGTATGTACCGAGGTGCTTATGTCAGGAAGCCAGGTGGCTCCAATTCGGCTAAGTGTCCGACTTATTCAGGTCATGATCTCTGAGTTCGTGAGTTGAGCCCAGCGATAGAGACTCTGTGCTGACTGCTGGAGCAGGGAGCCTGCCAGTTCTGGGTCTCCCTCTCCTCTCTCGTGCCTCAGCTATACTGTCTCAAAATAAATAAACATTCAAAAATTTCTTTTAATAAAAAGAAAACTCATGTCCACACAAAACCTGCATGCTGAATATTTATGGCGTTACGTCATTACCACAACTTCGGAAACAACAAAATATGCTACTGGGTGGATGGATAAACCCTTGATACATCCTGACAGTGGGGCCAGGATTCAGCGCTAAAAACAAATGATCAGAGCCATGAAAAGACATGGAAGAACCTTGTGCATCCTAAGTGAGAAGAAACCAGAAAATCTATGAAAAGACTTGCATACGGTCTGATTTTAACGCTATGGCGCATTCTGGAAAAGGCAAAGCTGTAGCATAATAAAAAGATCAGTGATTTGGGTTGGGGTGGGAGGATGAACAGATGAACCATAGAGGATGTTGGGGGGGTGAAATACTCTATGATATCATAATGATGCACACACAGATTTGTGCAAATCCACAAGATCTGTAC